GAGACAAGAGTATTCACTTTTTTAATGAATAAACCACAGAAGTATACACGTATTTGGTGATAGGTGTGACCCCAGCCTATGGTTTCTTTTATTTTCTAATTTACTCCCATTCTTACTTAAAGAGATTTTTTAAATGTCCCTTTCCACCTTAAAACCCAGCTTAAACAGGGTAACGTTTCAGCTCTGCAGCTTTTGGAATAAAACATGAAATATCCTCACTCAGTTTTGCTGAAATTATGTCAATTATGTCGATGATAACTATAATAAGAGTTCATATAGTGTCATCTGTTCTATACATTGCTTTTGTGTGTGGAATAAAAAGTCAACTCAAGAACACATTTCATTCGTATGAAAAGTATCACTTTGTCACCATAGCCCATAAGGTGAACCCGATTATCGTTTCATCTCACTCCGACGTCTGGGAACTACACGATCTCAACTTCATAAATAAGAACGAGTTACGTTAAAGTTACAGCATATTCGTCGCAAAATATCCTGCCCATTTTTTATATCGATGCATTTTATAAAGAACTAGCGTCTTTGGGGCGCAACAAGATTTTGGTTAATATTGGTTGCATGATTAATATTACGTACGTAACACGTTCTTATTTAGAGATCGCGTGATCGTGAAGTTCCCAGACGTCGGAGCGAAATGAAACGATAATCGGGTTCACCTTATGGCCTATGGTGGGTGCTGAAAATACTGAGCCACGGTTGCTTTTATGTTTTAGTTTCGATCTTGATGTTGTCCAGTTGGTGTCACTGTTGCATTAGATTTCATTTCAGCAGCCGCGGCTGTCAGAACAATGATGTATTGTTGTGCTTTAGCGCAGTCATTGGTAAAGTTATTAAAGATGAGCTGCTTAAAGAAGAGAGGTCGTGTATCATAATGTAAAACCGGCCCCTCTGCAGCAGCAGCTGGAGGCAGTTCATCTAGACTTGGACAAAGCTGAGATTTTCTCTCAAATCTGGGCCACTGGTGGGCTGGTGGAGAAGCTGAAGCGCAACATCTTTTCCCCAAAAAAGGTACACGACTGCACATACGTCGTGGTGAAATAAACTAACTCATGTTTAACAGTGAGATTTGTTTAGCATACCTGCAGAAGACCATTGTTCATGTTAAAGCCCCTCACATGCTACTGTTCAAGAAGAGATTAGATAGATAGATAGATAGAT